CCTTGGAAATGGTCAGGTGTCCAAGTCCCTTGGATGCTGCATTTAGTTGATGGATGATCCCATGCAATATACCTGGTGGGAGGGCCCTTGAAATCTTCCTCCTTTTGGCAAACAAGACCATTATCTTCTCTCTGATTGCATCTGCCATGCAATGCACAGGAATGTCTTTGTGCTCTTTGATCCAAGAATTCCATGATTCTGCTAAATTGTTGTTGGTATAGTCACACTTGATGTGTTCTGAGAATTTACTTCTAGCCCATAGAAAAGGATGATGCTCTGTCAGCCATTTCTTCACATCTGGACTAGCTTGCAAGACTTTATCAAAAAAGTACTTGAATTTGTGTGGTGAGTAAGCTCTAGCTACAGGCCACATGTTTTTGCCATACACATCACTAGTGTAGTTTTTCTTCATGTTTTCCATGAAGTGCCTGAAACATTCTCTCATCTCTGCTTGTGGAAATACTAGTCTAACAGCTGACTCCAACCCCTTACATGCATCAGTGTAGATAGCTAGTTTATCCATGGGTCCAATGGCCTTCCTAAGTTGCTCCATAAACCAGACCTAGTTCTCCTTTGTCTCTGAGTCAAACAATCCAAAGGCCAGAGGAAACATCCAATTATGGCCATCTAAAGCTAAGGCTACATGCATGTGGCCATTCCACATCCCATTAAGTGCAGTGGAATCTACACTTATGTAAGGCCTACAACCATTCAAGAATCCATCTATACTAGCCTTGAATGCACAGAAGAATCTGCTAAACCTAATTTTCCCATCCTTAGGATCAGTGACAGTGGCTATCTCTACAACACTTCCAGGTGATCTCAGCTCTATCTCAGCCTTAAACCTAAACAAATAATCGAAATAATCATTTCATTTACCAAATAACTTATCTGATGCTCTCTGCCTTCCATTGTACACTGTCTGGTAGGGGATGTCAATCTTGTACTTATAATGCAGCTCTTCTTTGAGTTCTTTAGCCCCCATTTGTGGGTTCCTCTTGAGGTAGGGGATTGCTCTCCCAGCCACCCAAGCTATAGATGCCATCCTGCAGACAACCCTTTGTGTAGATGCACAGTTATGGACCCCCTGATTGATTTGAATCTGCATAATAAAAACAAAAGGACATATGAGGACAACAAAAAAGCAACACTCAACAAACACAGAAAAAGATTGTATTCAACAATAAAAAAAATTGTACCCTGAACTGCCATCATGTTGGGTTCTAGCTCTAAGAATCCATGGGCAGCCTAGAGCAACACAATTAGCCCTGAACCTTTCTTTGTCTGAATGCTCAGTATCGTACTCAAACTCCTTAATTATAGCATGCTGCCTAACAGCTAGCCTAAACTCAGCCATGCTGGGATAGCATGTGCCAACACTCATATCAGGATTGTCCCTGTCCCATTCATGCATTGGTTCTACATAAACTATATCATCAACATTAACAGCTCCTTCATTCATATCTGCCTGCATCTCTGCTGACATAGCTAGAATGGGCACCTCTTCTCTAGATCCTTCTGCTGTTGTCTCTGACTCCATAAACCCCATGGCCTCATAAACCTTGTCCTCATCAGCAACCTCTTTTGCTAAACCATCATCATCAGGCACCCTATTATTGTTAGAGTAGTCCAGTCAACTGCTATAGGCAAATCAGTAGGTGTTTCTTCTAGGGAACTGCAGGTATCACCACAACCTTCAGCATCATCATGCACAACATGTGAGCCACCAGTTGGCCCACTTGTGACACCAGAGACACATCTACCTTTAGAAGCACCAGAGCTGACATTTGCATTAGAACCACCCTTCCTCACAACATCCACTGCAATAACAGCCAACCTCTCATCCCATCTATCCTTAATCATCTGTTGGAAATGCTCATCCCTCCTAATCTTTCACTCAGACCCAGTATCTTGGTCAACAAACCACACTGCAAGTGTTTGAGTTGGCCCCCAGATTATCTTCGTGGCTAAATCCTCCTGGAATTGAGCCATAGAATACTGACAGTTCCTATCCAACCATAAGTCATGCTGCTGCTCTGCCATTTCAACTAGCCCATACTCACCATCAGCCATGAATTTAGCAACCTTAACGACTAGTCTAAACGCATTGCCAGGATCGATCCTGGCGTCATGGTAAACAATGAAAGAAATGAGGAGTTAGACGGTACCCAACTCCTCCAATTTTGCCTACACTGCTAGGTTGATTAAGCACTTACCAAGGAGGGCAATCACTGTTGCTAGCCATTGTGACACGGGTTGACACCACCTCTCCCACTACATCACAAGCCTACGAAGCAATCAACCGAGGAAGACAGTCAGCGTCCATGAACCCTAACCCTAAACCCTAATGGACACGGGACCTGGGTGCAAAGGGGGAGTAAGGCCACATACCTTCAATGCGCTCACCAGGGGTCCCGCTCACCAGATGCGGTCACCGTGGCGCAGGGACGGCGGGAGGGGAGCAGGAGGCGGCGGCGGCGCGGGGGAAGAACGCGTCGGCGACGACGGCTGGGATGGGGACGAAATGAGCGAGGGAAGAAATGATGAGCGGGAGGTATGCGGCGTAATGAACAAAATGGGCAGGGGCAGGGATGGCATTTTACCTTCGCCTGCTGACTCGGCGCCGGCGTGTCGGAGGGTCGTGGCTTGCCACATGCGCAAATGTGGCAAAACAGAAATTCAATCTTCTTTCATCTGGTAAAAATGTAAGTGCCATTCTAAGGATGATAATCGGATGAGCGCCGATCTTTATAATGGTAAAAATGTAAAAGCCCCGGATATTGTTAGGACTTAGGGTATGTACATTTTGTATGTCTGTAGTTTTTGAAGGTAATCTTATGCAATGTTACGTAAGATTTTTGATGATGGGAAAAAGAGAGAAAAGTGAGAGATAGATGTGGTTGTTTCATGAGAAAAATTTAGGACTATGAGACAATTATTTAAGATTATACAATTTAATGTTACCATGTAATTCATAAACTTCTCTTTGTTCATTGCATAAATAAGGATATTTTTTGCGAAGGGAAATAAGGATAATTGAATGAGTAGGTTATTCAATCTGTCATGATTACATGGCACTACATGAGAACATCTATGAGACAAATCGATGTATGTGTCCTTACTATTCGAACATTATAACCGAACCGCTTAGTCGCACAAAAAAATTATGTGACTTGAAAAATTAAATTAACCTACACTTTCCTTTGACTATATATTTGGTAATTTAGGTAAAATAATGTCGGTTATTATACTTGAATTTAGATAAGATATGGCCGAAAGAAATATAGGATAATCAGAATCCACCAACTGTGATAATTCAAGATAAACAATTGACGGGCTGTGGCAAACTAACTAAGCATAATTCTTAAGTTGTGTACATTACTCATTTATTAAAAGCTTTTCTAGATACATAACTATTGCTATTGCATACTAATGTATCTTATGTCTATATATATACATAGTAAAATCTAGACAATTGACTTACAACTTTGGAAAAGGAAGGAGTACAACCCAATATGTTCACTATGAATTATTCATCAGAGTTATAGAGCCCAACAAAAAGCAACCAGAAAATCATGTCTCTCTTTTTATGTCCTAAAAAAAATAGCAAACGAAAACCGTTGTGCATATTACAAACTAACGATTCTATCTACCTAATATATATAGTTAACCCTCACGCAGGAACAAATCCTAGCTCTCTCACGCACTCAAGCACTATTCAACCACTGTTTATGATACTGTTCATTATCGTTTTCTATCACTTTCCTGTACAGCCAGACACTGCTTCATATCATAACTGTTGCCTGCGTTGGGTACAAAACTTCCCGTTCGTTGTGTTACTGTTTAATTTTACTGTTCATGAACCCGCGCAGCGCGCGAAGTGTAGTCCTTAAGTTTTGTGCATTACTCATCTACTAAAACTTAGTCCATCCGTCAGATTGTAAGTTGTTTTGGTTTTCCATATACATACATGGAGGTGCCGTGGCGGTGTTGTAGGGGAGTCGGCAGCTCTCCCCCACCCCGGCGTAGCGCCCTCCCCACCCCTGGTGGCACCCTCTCTCACCCCGACGACCGAGCTCCCCCCACCCCGGCGGCCATGGCGCTCCCCGCGCCAGGCTCTCTCTCCCCCTCCCTATGTTGCAATTATATGTTTCAATTATTTTAAACATTTTAGAGGTACGTTGCAATTGAGTCATATGGATGTTGCAAAAGTAGATTATGGGATGTTGCATATGTTGCACGTGTTTCAGAGGCATGTTGTAAGCGTTTTGTTCGAAATGTTTCATTTGTTCCCAGATGTATTGTTGCAAGCATTTGATCTGGATGTTACATATGTTCCACACAAATGTTGCAAACTTGCAACAGTATGTTCCAAAATGTTTCATCTGTTTCAGTCTTCTGTTGCAGCAAGTATTTTTATGTTGCAAATTGTAAGTGTTCTGTTTTGGATGTTACATATGTGTTTCACATATGTTGCAACTACATGTTCCAGATGTTTCATCTGTTTAAGACGTATGTTGCACTGAAGTGTTTCATGCTGCACGTGTTTCATGCTGTTCGGAAAGTCATGGGACGCCGGGGAATAGGGCGCGGCAAGCCGGTGGACGTGGTGCGCGGTGCGCTCGGGGCCGGCGTCGGGGGCACGACGGGGCGGGGGTGTGCTTGCAGGGGGCGAGGCGAACGGATGGGGATGGGGGGCAGAGGTGCGGGGTGCGGGTGTGTCAGGCATGTGGGGGGCGTCCCGATAGAAGCTAGGCCCGCGTGCATGTGTGTGTGAGCGGAGGGGTTGCGGGCGGGCGTGCTTTCAGGGGCAGCAGCGCATTGGACGTCCGGACGCTCGCAGTTCCACAACTCAATCTGTTCACTACGAATTAGTTGTCCAAGTTCTAGAGCCCAACAAAAAGCAAGCAGAAACTCATCCATGTCTTTTTATATATATCCCTCATAAGAATAGCAAGCGAAAATCACTGTGCATATTACAAACTGACGATCCTAGCTACTTAATCTAGTTCCAGCATAGCTGAATATGACGATTTCGTTGGAAGGATAGATTCACCACACCTCTCCATCAGAAAGCATAAGAAGAAAGAGACGCCTGCAGCGAGAATGAGCAAAGGAGTCATAGTGAAAAGCAGTACTTCTCCCACCTCGTGGGTGGCAATAAATCTTCTCATCAAATCGACCAAATACACCCAAAGCAAAACCAACAGTCCCTGCACACCAGGAAAATATATTAATTCACAGTAAGCATATTTTTCGTTGTATATATAAGCCAAAGTATAACATATATATACCAACAGAATAAGAGTTAAATGGCATTCTAATTAACAAACCAGAAGAAAAGATTATAAATGACCATATGCATATAGGAACTTAAAGCTTCTCTCTCTATATATCCTTCCTTTTCGTTTTGTCAGTTTATTATTGATCGATCATCATCTCAACTACGATCTATCGATGATATACTTTTGTAAAGGACATTTTATAGTCTTGTTTTTAGAAGAAAATGAGTTACATGGCTATGTTTTCCTCTCTCTATATCAACATTGGTATGTATATCATGTTACGATCGATCGATATCCGCGTACGTACCCGGACGATGCATTTAGCGATCCTCGCGGCATCCATGTCCAGCGCAGCCTCGATGGCAGCCCTTCTCGTGGCGTCCTCCGGCGCCGGCGCCGGCGCCGGCACCGGCACCGTGGTGTGGCGGCTGGGTCCCTTCTCCAGGTCCAAGAATGGCGCATCGTCCGCCTCCTCCGTTGGAACCTCACTGTCGGCGCAAGCATACCCGCATGCGGCACATGGCGTCGATGATCCAATAATGGGAGGCCGCGACAATGGCGGTACCAAGGTCTGGCCCAAGATGCAGAACATTTCGGCTATAGGTACGGCAACAACAATCGCAGCAAACGTACTAAACCGTATATCTCCGCTAGTGTAGTTGATAGCGTATTCTCTCATAGAATTAAACAAATAAAGCCCCAGTAAGATCAGCGGTCCCTGCAACCAAGAAAACTTGTAGTTAGCACATACGTATGTGACTACAATAAGAGCCTGTTTTCATCAGCTAATCAGCTACAGCTAGTTATTAGAGCAGCTCCATATGTATTTTTTATAATTAACTTGCTAAATCAATAAATTTAGTGACTTAACAAAATAAGCAGTAGTAAACTCTCTCCAATTGTTTTCTATAGTAGCAACCTAAACCATTCTACATTGCATTAGAAACCTCGAATTATTTCCCAACCTCTTACCATTTTCCCACGTGAAACCTTTTATTTATTTAATTTACTTATGTGTTCAATTTACTCTGATCCTTGTAGAAAAATATCTGATGGGGAGTGGATACAGAGTTCCTCTCGACTGCGAAAACTTATGAGTTGGTGAGAATACTGGGCACTTTTATTTTTATAAGGAGCTCTTTTACCAAACTGTTAGAGAAATTTTTTTTCCTTTTTGATAAAAGATCAAAATAGAAAGTTGTTTTTATAAAACTTCTCGAGATGCTAAAAATCAGCCCTAATTAACCGTAATTGGCTGTATTTGACTAACTAAAGAATAATTAGCGCTCTCATTGGATGGGCTAGGGCAAAAAATTAACCGACTACAATTAGCTCAAACATGCCCTACATAAATTATAAATATATAACACAGAAAAGGGCCGGTTATTTATTTAAGCTAACTACTATGTACGTGTGTACATGCATTATGATTGTTTATTGATCGACGACCGTGCGGTGTGAGTTTGTGTTTGAGTTTAGACGCTACAACTTGTACTTAAGTATTAAGACATTAAAAAAACAAGCAGACGTAATCACAACGGCGACGCACCCGGATGATGAACTTGGCGGCCCTCTCCGCCGCCATCTTCGCGGGGTCCCTGTCCATCGAGGCGCCGGGCGTCTCCGTGGGACAGCCCGCTGGCCGTCCCTCGCCGGCGTTCAGCAATAATGGCGCGCCCAGCACCTCCCTCGGGGCCTCGCTGCAGGCGACCGCGCCGCGCGTCGTCATCGGTGATATGATCCGGAACGAAGACGCGTACGGCGGCGATGGCTCTTTCCTTCTGGAGTTCTGGTTGTGCCGACGCCCGACGCCGCTAATAATATACCTTTCCTCGAGTCGTCACGATACTCGATCGGCTGGAGGCTGGAGTCAAATATTTTAAGCTTTAACTATAAATAAATTCTTTTGAGTCAAATTTGAAAATATAAAAGTGATGTATGTAGATTTATAACGAAATTTAGTTTTATAAAAATATATATTGATTATATTTTCTAAATATTTTATATATCAAAAGGTAGCAGTCAAATTTGTTTTCTTTTTTTGAGACCCTTGATGTCCAAAACGATTTCTTCTAGAGACCTGGAGGGGAGTATATACTACTACTTCTTGAGATAAACTTCCATGCAGCAGATGCCTTACGAAATTCTTTTCTTTGATGCTCTCATTGTACTAGCGACCTCCAGAACCACAACCAATAGATTCTCCTAAAAATTGTCAACATAAAAAAAAATCGAGAGGCCTGTTAAGCAATATAATTTCATATTTGAGCCCTTTAACTCTAATTTATGTACCCCTTCCCCCAAACAATAATAATGCTCATTTGCACAGCACAATTTTTTCATTCTACTGCATAAATGCCTGTACGTTGCAACAGAAAAAATAATATGACAATAATTCAAACTTCCACATGTGTTGTATTATTGTAAAAATGATACTTTCACTACTACGACTAGATTTATAGGGGTGGCTAGTGAGCTACTATAGAAGCGGCTGGGCTAGCCGCCCGTACTAAACCATCTTTAGAAAACAGCTTTGTAGGGGTGCCTCACAGAGGCTCAAAGCCAGACATCCTTTGAGGGACCGATCGGGCCATGCTCAAGATTAACCAATTTGAGCTCACCAAGGGCGTTACCTGACCAAGAAGTCGTGACGGCGCTCCTCATGTCCTTAAACGAACAAACAAACCCGACACAAGGAGTTTCCGATCGAGACAAAAGGAAGATCCCCTCGCCGCCATCCCCAAGATAGCCCAGGAGGCTGCGAGGACCTCGGGGGGGTCTGCTGCTGTGCTTGTTGAGTATCAAACATAGGGTTGCCTAAACCCCCCTAATTAGCGCCATCACTACTACAATAACTATAACTCGGGTGGTCAAAAAAGGTTTCTCGAGGCGGGCAACCCGTCCGTCTGGAACCAAAGATCTGCGTAAATCAATATTTACCAACGCGGACCAGTTGCCCGCCTGTGTCAATAAATAGAAAAACGACGAGCCCAAACGTGAGCCCATCTAGGGCCCGACGTCGCCCTCCCTGCCCATGTAGTGCCCGCACTGCCGCCGAGGCACGGCCCCCGCCGCCACGCACGTGGAGCCAGATCCGTCACAGATCCACCGTCGTGGACCCAAATCCCGCCGGAGAGCCGCCGTGCTCGTGGGTGGGGCAGGGGCGCCACCGAGCCGGATCCACTGCGCGCAGTGTGGAAGGGTGCCGGATCCGCAGTGGTGGCGCCGGATCAGTAGTGGTGGAGGTGCTCCGGCGGTGGGGAAGAGGGGAAGGAGCATTGGATTGCTCGGTCATCGGGGTGCAGCACCATGCCGCCGTGCACGCCGAGGAGGCCCACCACACGCGTTGTCGTTGACACCCTGCGCACACCAGAGCAGTCCACCACCTCTGCCCCATGCGTGCCGGCCGTCGCCTCCACCTCGCATGCACCGGCTGCTGCCTCCGCCACAAGAGAGAGAGGTTTCATTTCTGGGCTGCTACCGAGGGAGAGAGAAACAAGTGCGGCTGAGGGAGATCTAGGTGAGGGAGAGAGTGGATTTAGGGTTTCATCTCTTTATATAGTGTGACCTGATTTCTTGGCTGAATGGGCTTCCTAGTGGGCTCGACCATATTAATCGAGACGGGCCTCTTATGAGGCCAGTCTCTATAAGCCCATTTTAGGAGGCGGGCATTTTCTGACCGCCTCCATAAATAAACCGACCACTTCCGTTAATTGATTTTACGAGGCAATCATTTTTTGGTGCCTCGGTAAATAAAACGACCGCCTCTGTTAATCAACGGGCATTTTACGAGGCGGTTCAATTATGTGACTGCCTCGTTTAATAAAAGGGCACTGTCTCATAAAATCATTTGTGTAGTAGTGGATGATAGTACGGTCAACCCCTGACTGATTCTCCTAGTCAACTAGGGGCTACACTCGTCGTGTACGCCGCACGTACACTCCAGCACATTACCGAATGTCCAAATGGCTCGATAGGCCTCAGAAGGCCCACCGCAGGATAAGGCCTTAGTGCCCACATGGTTCCCGACCTTGGGAGGTGATAACCGACCAAGGGCCACCGTATGCGCCTTTGTCTTGCTCGCGCTAGGCTTCCCATCCAGAACGACATGAGTAATATTCCTCTAGAATCCATCAGGTGCTCAGAGTCACATATACAGGAAGAGCCGTAGGGCACTAGGCCCTACCGGGACATTGTTCCCTCACTCCCACAAAGCCATGTCGATCATTTCTAGCACAAGGTCACACCCGGGGTGTGATGCAATGCGACAAAGAATAATGCATGCCCGCTGAGTGGACACATCCGGGCCTGCCTGCCAGTCGCACTTCGTGTGCGGCCGGACCCTTAGTAGACGTGTCGGTGTTTTGTAAACCGGACTAGTAAATTTATATGATTGCCGCGCTGCCCTAGGAAGATGATGGTAGCATCCAAAAGACATGAGGATTTATACTGGTTCAGGCCGGAACCCTACGTCTAGTCTCAGAGATGATCGAGTGCGTGTTCCTCGCTTGAATGCTCTGAAGTTCTTACAACGAGGGTGCAAGAATGGTGGAAGAGGAAGAAAAGCTAGAGCTAGGAGATGGATGTTGGTATTTCTTAATGACTATTGGAGGATTCCGCAAGCACATAGAACTATCATGTAGCACTTCGCTCGGTGAGTACCGAGTGTCGAATTTATATTTTTTCCCACAGGAAGGCGGAAGGCTATAATTTATAATTGGACTAGGATTTGCTAAAGGAAGGTTAAGGTTGATCCTAGGTAGGTGAACCATAGTGAAGGATGGGTGTGAACTACCTAAACTAATTACTAAATACAAGCTAACCAGAGATAGCTAGGTGGGAGAGCGAGTGATTTATCTTTCTAGTAACTAAGGGTAAACAAATAACTAGGAGAAATGCGATAGTACTTTGGGTCACAGTCTATCTACCAACTAGGAGAGTTAAATAGACAAGGTAGCCCTACGATTTAATAACTAGACCTATCATGGTGGAATACAGTTGATGGACAAGGCTGTCACCACTTGCCACGTACCACAATCTATCCGAAGGTCTAGCCGTATCCACAGGTAATCTATAGCGTAAGCACCATGCTTAATCTATAGGCTTACTATTTTGATCCGAGCTTCGATGAAATAAGATTAAAGCACCCTAACCAGATGGTAGAACCGATACTAATGAAAGACTACTAATGATAAGATAACCTATGCTACTAATGCCAAACAATAAGCACCTAAGCTCACTAATGATGAACACTAATGACTAAGTACTTAAAGTAAAGCGAGCAAAACTAGAATAAAGTACTGAAATAAATACTAAATAAAGTAATGCAGAAAATGAAAGAATTACAAAGAAGCTATACCAGACCTAGAAGATTCTTTCGGACTTTGAGAAGCTCCGCTCTTGCTCTACTCCATTACTAGACTACTACTCTATAGCTAATGCTAACCTAGAAATCTAAGAGAAGCTTGGAGAGCTTGGAATTGAATGGGGGCACTTCTCCATCGAGCTCCACACCCACTATTTATAGTGTATGGTGAGGGGAGGGGTATTTGTAGGCAGTAGGGAGGTCGGTGGAGGACCTAGGGCGCTGGGTGGCCAAGGTAGGGTGCCAGGAGGCCCTTGGATCCACCGCCTCTTGATCCTTTGGCTTTGGTTGGCTCCCAATGGCAGTTATAGAGGCAACACATGTCAAAATTCGGTAGGTATGGCGGTTGGTAAGTCGGTGGAGAGCTCCCAAGTCTATGACAATGGGCCCATGAATCCACCGGCATCAAATCTTATCCATTGATCAAACCGACTTGAATGGATGCTTCTCATTGGCTCTGGAGCAGGTCCCATGAATCAATGATGTGGCAAGGCCACCTGGGGGCCGAGCGGCGCCCTAGTGGGGCTGGGCGGCGGGCTCAAGTGGGCCCAAGGCCTCCTGCCATGTCCACTTGCTCCATATGTCCATATTTATCACCTTTTTTGGCCAAACTTTGGTATATTTTCTGCATACAAATAATTCTACAAGCATGAGTGGAACTAGGTGAAATTTAAACATAACTCTTCACATGTGATGATGATTTACCTCACTTTGCCATGCTTTTGGGTGAAATGTTGATGGTCAAAACGGGTGTTAGTGATCGTCAACAAGCTCCCCCAAGCTACCCCTTTGTTGCCCTCAGCAAAGATGTGGGTTTAGCATGAAATAGGTTGTTGAATCAGGGGTTGCGTACTATGTAACACCCTGCAAAGACTTGTATACAAACAAATACTATCTCTTGAGTTGAATATGTTAGCACTTAGAAATTTCACCATCGGTCTTAGCAATGTGGGACTTATAGCTTTCACCTTGATACAAGCAGTTGCAAGAATGTGTAGCTAGATAGATACTTTTTGCTTACTTTGGTTTAGCTCAAACTTCCTGGAGATTTTCAAATGATTTGAAAAGAAAACTTGCCTAATTTCCTCAGATGGTACACTCAAGTCACTCAATGGTGTTTGAAATCCTCACCAAGGCCATGAATTTTAGCCTTAATTTCTATCCTAAAGCTTATGTGGAGCTCAAGGTAGGGGTAAAAGCATAGCTTACTTGAATCAAATCTATTGCTAAGCCAAACACTTGGATCACAAGGAGCAACAAATCATACAAATTAATCAAGAGGTGCATGTAAGTTTCCCTTCTCTAGCTTCTTTTTGAGAGGGCATGGCTACTTTTCTTTTTCTCACTCTCTCTTTTTTTAACAC